ACTGTGAAGAAGTTTGGACCTATCAACACAATTAAGGGTATCACTGTAATCAAAGAAACATACACAAACAGCTTTACATTTCCTGTCCAAGGAGGAAGAGACATAATTAATAAGGGATGCCAATACATCATTGTTTGACTTGGAACTGCAATAGGCAAATTGATTGGGATCAGATGCATTCAGCTGGGGTAACATCTTCTGTAGTAAAATCTTTTCCATGACTTTCAAACCAACAGAAGTGCAGGCAATCGGACGAAGTTTGGACGGTCCGTTTTGGGGTACTGGCGTGATAGAAGCCACTCTGCAGCATTCCGGAATGCAATGCTGAGTAAAACACAGGTTGAGTAGGTTGGTGAAAACAGGGAAAGGGAAACTGCACACTCGTTGAGCACAACAGGCGGCAGTCCATCAGGACCGCTTGCTTTATTAGACTTCAGATTGATTAAAGTTTTGAATAATTCTGTTTGATCAGTAATTGAATTAACAGCATTAGGAGCAGGGACGACTGCTGTGAATGGAATAGGGATGTCGGTTTCAGCATTGCTGAATTGATGATTGAGATCGTCCACATTGGCAGCTGGAAGATTCTCCTTCATTTTGAGACCACAGAACTAAAACATCATTTTCGACCATTTCTGTTTGCCAGCAGTGCATGTACATTAGCGGAGTTTAATCTCCGCAGCTCAGCTTTGATTGCTTCCGAATGGTCGCTCACCAGAATACTTTTTTGCTTTGAAAGCTTGTTCTTTCTTCCGACGTAATCGTTTAAGTGTAGGGGACGAAAAACGGTCTGACCGTACGTATAAAATTTCCCAAGGGCAGCACGTATCATCACAGAACTTCAAATATTCAGTTGTGGTATCACAAAATATAGAAGGATCATTATGTACAAATAAAGATAAATCTGTCCGATCTAATATATCTCTTAGTTTGGTGAGATTTTCGGGTTGACATTGACGCCGACGGAGACGACGATCACGATGCCGAGTGTATGACTGATGATTGGGTCTACTGTAGATTGTGGGGGATAGTTTTAATGTTGCATGATCAAAGGTGCCGATAGGGGAACGGTTGCGCAAGTGAAATAAATTCAGGTCGTCAATGAAACACAAATCAAGACAAGCCTCCAGTCTATTCGGAAAGTTAACGTTTTTTAGTCCAAAGGTTGTCAAAAACGTGACATCAAACCTACTGAAGTCACCACACACGATGCAAAGGGAGGAGTCTACGTAATTTAGTAAAGTGGCGGAGAAAATATCAGTGAACTCATTAAAATGGTCAGTGGAACAAGGAGAAATTTAAAGGTTACCAAAAATAATATTTCGGTAGTTACTGCGGTTTTTAGGTCTGCATTTGTACAGTGAAGTACTGATAAAAATGGTAGAATACAAAGACTTGTTTGCCTGATTTACACCAATTATCATTTATGTATGTCATAACACCACCACCTCGTTTGTGAACCGGAACGACTCGGTCAACTCGGCAGATGGAAAAATTGTCAATTTTAACCACGTTATCACACCGCATTTCAACCCGTCCCCCTCCCCCGCCCCCAAGTACTGGCTGTCTCAAGTAGTTCTCTTGAAAGTGCACCCTAGTTACTATCCATGGGACTGCCCAAAGAAGCGGATATCCGAAAGGAACTCCAATGTGACCGGATCACACGACCTAAAACCTGCCCTCCTTAAAGATGGTGTAGAAACTCTCGTGAGATTGTTCTCGAAGATCTGGGAAACTGAAAGTGTACCAAACACATGGGGACAATCGATGGTTACACCGATCTACAAGAAGGGCTGTCGCAACCCCTGTTCCAACAACACGGGGCATATGTTTGATTCCAGTAGAGCTGAAGCTGTTAATGTCCGTTTTATTACGCAAACTAAACCCATTTAAAGAAAGGCAAATCCGCGAAAAGTAGGTGCACGCCGTGGTTGCATAGATCAGATATTTATCCTTCGTCAGCTACTACAGCACCGCCACGCATACAGATAATAAACTACTGACGTGATTTTGGACATCAGAGCGGCCTTCAATTTCATCGGTCGCCCCATACTGCGGAACTGTTTCCGGAAATACGGAGTACCCGAGAAGTGTTTTACTCCTAAAAGCGCTCACCAGACCTCGGGGAAGGTTCAGGCCTATGGTGAACTTTCACCCTCATTTCCTGTCATCAGTGGGGTACGACAGGGCTGCCCTATCTCTCCGTCTCTTCAACTTGGCCATAGATGATGTTCTACGGAACGCGTTACATAACGTGACAAACGCCGGCATCGAGCTTCGTCTTGGAGACAGAATCGTAGACTTAGAGTATGCCGATGATACTGCCTTTTGGGTGACAACGCACTAACGATTCATGAGTCGTTGAAACGATTGGCGATTGAGGTTACTCGTTATGGCATGTCCTTTGCACATTCAAAGTGCAGTGTTGTTGCAAAATGGGCAGGAACCCGTTTCTGTACTTTCGTTGGTTAATGAAACCCTGGAAGTAGTCGAAAACGTTGTCTACCTCGGGAGTTGCATAACGGTTGGCGGAGGTATGGGCAAGGAGATCTGTCAACGCGTGATCAAAGCTAGATTAGCGTTTGCTAATCTGTGACATCACTGGTGCCAGCACGACATATCCATTTCACTGAAAGAGCGTGTGTATTGCACGACGGTACGCACCGTGTTGCTCTGTCTGCGAAACCTTACCTCTCCGAACAGATTATGTCCAGTGACTATCGGCCTTCGACAACCGTTGTCAGCGCAACATCGCCCGCATATGGTGAGAGCAGCGAGTGAAGAAAAATGAGGTCAGACGACGGGTGCTAGGATCAGATAGTTCTCCGTTGAGCAAACTAATTTCACAGCATCGTCTTAGGTGGCTATGGCACGTCCTACGAATGCCTGAGCAACGTCTGCCACACCATGCACTATTTGCAGACATTGGTCCAGGCTAGAAGAAACAGCGAGGTGGACAGACTATGACGTGGTGTAGAGGGTTAAAGAGATTGTGCTCGGATCTGGCTTCCCGATTGTTCGGCTGGGGCCTCAAAGATTCAGATTGTTTTTGGCTGGTGATACTACGGGACAATGGCATCGAACCTAAGTCAGTGACGTGAATGCATCCTTTCCTGTGTGAAATCTCAAAAATAAACAAAAACGAAGAACAACTCAAAATGGCGTGCAGTAAACAAACAAAAAATCTGTTATTCCCTCAAGTTAACTAGTTTGTTTTCCCCGCTTCTGTAATTAGATTTTTTCGTTAACCCATGGTTATTTTGGCACCGTATCTGTAAAAATTGATGTTATATATATATTACTGTTCCTAAGCATTATGATGTAATTGATGAGTTATTCCGTAGCATATTATACATTAGTAATCATCGTTCACATCATGGTTTCCGAAGCTGCATCGAACACATGTCCGCGTTACAAATCAAGAATTCGATTTGCGCGTGCCATCACTAACAGGAGCAGTATCGTAAAAAAGTCACGCTCTCGCTTTAGTTAGTCAGGCACACATTGCAGTCAGTCTTGAGAAGTGATTTATGCACGAAAGTATCACCTTTTCTACTTCCTTTGAATAATAATAATAATAACTTCTGCAACTACCCGTGGTGTAATCTCTTGACCGGCTGAAAACTCAGATTAATTAAATAAAAGCAAGCACTGTTTGGAACACTGATAATGGGATATAAGTCGGAAAAGGAAATCCGGTACCCATTGTTCGTGTTCGCTATCATTTCCATAGGGGGAAATCATCGTTTGTATAGATTAAACTGATCTAGAAAAGAAAATAATGAACCAAGGTGGAGCATGCCACCGTGATCGTAAAAGGTAAACGTTATTGACGGGCCATCAACCAAGCTTTAAGGATAGAAAGACGGAACCGACTGCAATCAATCGTTCCGCATGAATTATAATCTCATATACTTGACTACCACGACTAGACACACAATCAAAACAATGTTTCACAGAGCACATGACTAACTAGTCAAATAACCCAACTACCGTCTTCAGCTGGCACCACCCTAAAGCACAAACAGTCCTCCTTTCCCTCCCACTTTGTGTATAATCCAAAGGCCTGTTTGCGTTTGTAGATCCTCAAATTCACTTCTTACTTGTCCACTCCAGTTCTCTGAACACATGATTTTGAATTCTGTGAGATACACAATACATCGAACTCCTATGTTCTGATGACTGTAAGAATCTGCTCTAAAGCTTCACAGAAACCACCGAAGTAGGGATAAAGGCGGAAACAACAGCAGAGATATCGCGGTAGAACTTACGACAGCTTTCCATACAGATACCATGGTCTGAAATTTGACACGTCACAAACACAACACTTAAAACAGCAGAAACAAGAATGTACAGCTGTTAAGTCCCTGTTCGGATTTGTCAGCAATACGTAGGCACAGAGCTTGTGATGCAACCGAATAACATCATAACAAGTACTAGTGAAGTTTCATTTATGAATCCAGACCTGCCTGTTTTATAAACTCCGCATATTCACGGGACTTATTTAAAACATTCCCATCAGTGTTATAGAAATGCTAACCAGAGTCTGTGGAACAAGTATTTGCTGTTTTCAATCTCCAAAACAAAGAGACCGATCTTAGGCAAAATGAAATAGACAAGATAGTAGTGAATAACATGATGCGTTCATGTGTGTGTGTACAAGAAGCACACAATAGAAAACAAAATACCCGAAGCAAATATATATACATGTATATATGGGAAGATAGTTATCAGAGAAAAAATGTGATGAAACAAAGATAAAAAATGTTTACATAAAATAAGTTGTTTTGTTTCTGAAAATGAGAAGTAGATGAAGTAGAAGACAGTTTCAAACTGAAAGTAAGTTCAACTAAATTGGAATCTCGGAGGCGGAGAGGAAGGGGTTGTATGGCTGGTTTGCATTTCACGGGATGCATTTTTGAGTGTCGATTGAACATGGCCTAGTCTCGGACATCACAGAGAAATGAGTAAATATATTCAGCGAGGGGATTTCAAGCTAATCACAGGTCACCGGAAGTAGTAACGTCTCCAGGCATGATTGCGGTCACAGTGCTCGATGGAGTCCTGTGCGAGGGCGCAGACGAGATCGGTTGAATGGATACCGTGTGTTTGGATTTGGTGGCCGAAACACCCGTGACCGATTTGCGTGTCGTGCTGTCTGCACGCGCAGTTGAAGGACACGCACCGGGATCTGTCTCTGCCGGATCGGAGTCACTGACGAAATCTTCTTCGGACTGAGAAGTGAGCTGATAAAAGTCTTTGTTGGAATGCACCAAGTCATGTGAACCGAAATCCGAAGAGACATCCATTCGATCATCACTGGTTAATGAGTCGATCAATGCTAGACAATGAAATCGACAGAAAATGAAAATCTATCATAAAAGCAAACCGTTTACGAACAAAGGGTACATGCTATAATTAATGGGAAGATCAGACAACTCCCCAACCGTTAGGCATGTTATCACACCCATCATACTGTGGCTTATATACATAATTTGCTACTTCAAGCTCTAGGGTTTAGGTCGCAAGTTAAGATAACCGACCATTGGGTATTTGTAAAACTGTATTCATCTTTTCTACTATTTACCACACAGTAATGTAACAAAAAATCTAAATCAATCGACAGTGATCAACACATACATTGCTTTATAGTGAGTGTCAGTTGAGAAAATAGACGATGTGGAAACTAGTTCCACCACGGCAAATGCAAACAACCAAAATATCTGATTCCATTAATAAACAATTGACTAAACATATTGATTTTTGATCAACACTTGGTAGAAAATTCATGCTGTAATTACATGGTTAGTCGGATCGAGTCACGTGACCAGATGAACCAGGCGACCTGAAGCCTAATGGGTTTATTTTTCTCAGTTAGCTCGTCAATCCGATTCGCTTCAACAGTGTAAATATCATGGAAGTATTATGAACTGTTACTGAGGAGGAAATTTGTGCCAAATTGTTTTGATGACCATGAGGATAGACCTCAAACCCCAAAAGGCTCACAAGAGCTCATTTTTAAATGGTTTTCAAACGCCGTGATGAAATATGTGACTGAAAAACACAAGTTAGGAACTACTTGTTTCGACCTGTTAGNACTACTTGTTTCGACCTGTTAGACTATGACTATCTAGTAGATGATGGACACTGTTAAACATTCTACTATATTCATTAGAAGGAAATCTGTCGTACTGTAGTACGTTTTTATGAACTGTTTTACCAAGCAACAATTGTTTAGACGAATGAGTTTTGATTAGTTTTCACAAATCAAATGAAATGCATGATATATAATATGTAAAAATAGAAGTGCCCAGACCAAATGGCCGTTTTCAAACTAGATGAAAGAAAGAAATGCTACCCGGGGGTTATTGGGTCTCTTAGTTACGTTATTTGTACTGGCAAGAGATATGGTGGTAGACAGCTTTGCTGTCGTCCGGTTCAATACGACTGACCTAGCGGGTTCTTATGTGGTTCACCACTCCAAGTCTCTTGGCTTAGGTTACCGATTATAATAACTGAACAGTAGGTCTTCGTGACCATGGGGTCTGCCCCGTCTACTGTTCATCACACAGTGATGGGTAACTTTAAAAATGGTTAAGTTAACGTATTAGGAACGACAATGATTAAGCGGGCATTACAATGTTGCACGGTTTGCCAATGAGCACTATACCGCTAGCCTCTAACAGACAGTCTCCATGAGGGGAGCGCATTCGGAATGGGCGAGTGACTGATAGAACACGTGAGATGGGAAGCAGGATGAAAGGGATCGAAATAATCTGAGGACTGTTAACCATTGAGTCAGCTCATGTCTTTTGAATGGTGAACAAGCGTTGTGGATCTCCGTTGGACCCCATCATCTATCTCACCGCATCCTGTTTGCAGTAACCAGTTTAGGATGGACAGAATCAGGTATAGGTCAACAGTTAACGTAAAGACAGGGTAACAAAAACGGCATAAGGAAAATAGGTAGAGTAGGTATCCCTCAGGTTCCAGTGAACTATGTAACTGGTTAGTTAGAACACAACAGCGAACCGGCAGCGGTGCTATTCTCGATATCAATTCTTATTCGGTTGGAATATTTGAAGATGTGTGTGTACAGCTAGACTATGTACTTTGTGTGTTGACCGTAGAGATTCACTTACATTTCTCCTCCCTCACTCCGTCTGTCTAACGCATGTGCGTTTACTTTGTATGTAGATTAACTGTAATCAGCGAAGCTTGCTTTATTTTATCCTACTCTCCGATGACGATGATTATGCTGAAAGAGCCCAAGGTCTGAAGGATGTCGCGTGGTTGCCTGTCTGGTGCTTCATTTGTGATTTGATTGTGTTGTGAAATCAACGCTTATACATATTACCATGAGTAACTAACCAGAGTGGAAATGAAGATATTCCCTTTTGTCTTTACAAAAATTATTCTCATTTTGATAGGTAGGCTAGAACAAAGCTTTTATCACACTCTTTGGAGCTTACTTGACCGTCGCAAATACTACAGCTATGTGAATAAAGTTATTCTCTGTTGGACTTGACTGCCTTGATACGGGGGATTATTTTTAGGTTAATAAGTAAATTACATGCGAGTGAGGCGCATTGCCCTCAAACCGAGCTTGCACATTGATCCAGAGGGGAGTGGTCGTGGAGCTGCGATCAACACGGGCTTCAAATTCGTACTTCACATTCGCACAAAGCAAGCACCACATGGTATCGCGATTTCAATCCCATCGAGTCAGCAAACTTGCAAGCGAAACAGTCACCTCGGCTTGTGCTTATCGGAGTGACATTCGTAGTATTTGGACAGATTATTGCAAACATAAAACATCAGTTATATGGGCGGGTAGGCGGAGAAAAAACTCTGTCCACGCAAAAAATTTCATATCACAGTGATCAAATCAACTACCTTGATTTTCCAACAAGGCGTTTTGTAGATGATGTACCACGGGAGATTGCTCGGGACGTTGTGGAGCTACTGACACACGAGGACTGGCGGTGTGTGAACGAGGCGGTAAAGATGTGGGACCAGGACTGTGCTCCTTGGTCGAGAGAGCTGGGGTGGACAGGGGTGGGGCAAGACTAAAACCACGATGGTCCTCAGGCGCTTTGCTTTTCGGATGACGGAGATCGTTTGAAAGTGCTCTGGGCGAGTAGGAAAATAGCGGGAAGAAGGAACAACTCTGAATCGAACACTTAGTTAGTGGTCTTAAGCTGAGTTACCTATGAGTAAACAGCTTTGACCCGGTTAACAGCTAACAAAAAAGAAACGAATGAATACAATTTCAGCACGCCCAGCACAGTGTGAAAGTAGAACAATCCGAAAAGCGTGAACTCCAAAGATGATACTCGAGAATGACAATCTCAGCTCGTTATGTTAAGTAATGCAGGCGGATTTGTTTTCATGTAAACTAAATAAGATGGACGATAAATCAAAGAGAGTAGGACGTCCGCTGAGACATTTGTTTTCGACACGCATTTGATTGGGCGAACACAGTTCCGTATTCGATTATGATAAGTACAAGCAAGTATGAGCTGCATGCTACAAGTCGCATTTCAAAATTCAAGAATGAGCTGCAGAATGTTCCATTTGATCTAACCAAAGGACGGTAAAATAAAATTTGATTCCATTTTTTAAATTATAATTAAAAGAATGTGGTTCACAAACACTTTGATCACCAACTTTTACCCACAATGAAGGCGACTGGAATGCAGGGCTATGCAAGAAAAGAAAACTATTTAGACGATAACACCACAAACTTAGCGCATAGTTGTGTGCAAAAAGCAACTCTCTCATTTGATCACTTTCTGCACTGACCATCAGGGTATTATTTCATATATTGATTTGCTTTTTTGACAACTCTTGATTACATCACCTGTCATAGATAAGGAAATTCATCCTATGCAACATTCTTTCCTCCCTCATAGATGCACAACTCACAAAGCCAATCTGCAACTGATTAATCACATTCGTTAGACTACCGCTATCCTAGAGTGAAGAGAAAATGAGGCCTTCGGTCTTATATCCTACGGTGAAATTATGAAGGACTTATGTTTAGGAAGTACTTTATTTCGTGATGTCAACTTCTCAACATAATGAAAAGCCCAGGAGTGACACATGTTCCCTTCAGTTTGTCAATTGATTACTTAAAAGTAACATAATGACATCACCCTAACACGACAGGCATACCAATCTTACCCAGTGAATGAAGTAACCGGCATATGGATAACCTACTTCGTTTGAATGATGGATGCTCTGGATGGCTTCGTTTTAAATGCAAGAATTAGTTGTATACAAGAGAAAGTGAAAGGATATCGCCATATATATATATATATATATGGATAGATAGATAGATAATAACCAAAACAGACCCAAAACACTTTCAAAAGATTCTCACCTAGTAACTCTGGAAGCACTCCCAGTGGACAGCTCATTCAGTGAGCACGCGTTGGACAGAGTGGTTGGACTGAATCGGTCCGTGATCAGGACATATTTCTCCCCGGAGTCCGGCATCTGTTGGATTCCGAAACGAATCTGATTGATAAACAAGCACGATAAGGTGTATGTACCTCCGACAAAAGGCACTAAACTGACTGGTATAGCAGAAACCATACCGTTATTGTAGTTTGCGACTGGACAGAACAGATGTAGTGTAATACAAATTGTTAATGGATACTTTTTGACCATTTCTAGAAGCAAGCAAACAGGATTGTCCACATTACATGGAATACACGTGAAAAATGACTAAAGAATAAGTAAGTTGGGCACAGGTAATATGGAGTGCCAGATAGAAGTATCAGGACGGACTTGTAGAGTCCAAACAGAAGACATTCGAATCACTGTCGCTTGACTCAAGCTCGATGATAGTTAGACGGATGAGCTAATTATGATGAGGGCAGGCTCAACTGCGAGGTGGTGATTGATCAGTGCTTGTGGATTGATAGNATTGATAGTCGACAGATGAGAAGACAAAGGTCAGTTCCACAAAGATAACGACTCTGATGCTGCAAAATTTCTTTTCCACTGCAGAGAACCCACACTCACTCGATTAGGTCAGGGTCCCGGGTGAAAAACTGAATAATTCTACGACCCTAACTTTTCAGCTCATATTTCTTTTGCGACTTGTGACGACCTTTGAAGATTTTATGAGGGACATTTATAACCCTGCTTTGTGGGAGGCAGTCGAGGTTCTACGAAAAACAGAAGACCTGGCACAAAAAGAAACGTCCAATAGTGATTCTGGCAACATGGGACAGAAGACTTCACACAAAGAAGTAACAGAAGCATTGGAGCAGGGAAATATGTTCAATAGACCCGGTATGCTGCACTATCCAGATTTAAGAGAAAATTAGTCAACCTGGTTATTTTTCCATCACGAGAAGACTGCATCTTGACGTGGTGTGATGGTTTGTGCATCTCTCTTGCCCAGCAAGCTACATACGAGCTACCAGGAACAGGCGTACAAAACACACTCACTCACACCTTGGTTGTAGCAGTGATCACCGGTTCAACTGAGCATCCAGGTGTATTGGGGACCTTGGACGTTTGATCCCGTCCAAAGGGCGTATGATCCAGGGAAATGGACACCGGCCCCCAACTGATTGTTCATTTCACACACCGTCCCGCTGCCTTGCGGGTTAAGCTTAGGCTCGATGAAGTCTCCGGCTGTGACTTCCTCAAGGAAACTAACTCTGATTGGTCTGAGCAGCCTAGCAGTATTCCGCGCACAAACAGTATGGAACTTTCGCTCTTTTATAAACAGTATGGTACATTATATGTTTGGAATACAGTCTGCATTGAGACGCATGTGAAATACCCAGTACAACTTCGCACATCAGGCGACGACGAAGTCCGTTTAGTTGGTTAGAACAGGGTAGGTATTGTACTCAGTAAAAAGGCCGAGGCCTCTCTTGTCGACTGTATCCCCGTCAACAGTCGTTTATGTGCAGTTAGTCTATAGGATTATATCACCGTCCGAAAGGGAAGTAACACTAAAAGGTGCTTGTTCATCATCTCAGCTCATGTACCGAAAAAAGACAGTTATGAAGCACAAAAAGACGATTTCTACGATAAACTCATTGAACTTTTCTTTTTTCATTTTACTTCCTTTTTATTAAATAAACGAAGATACAATTTTCGGGAAGGGGGAAGCGGCCAATCAAAGAGCTGCCATTCAACACACAATGGGAAGTCAGGCGGTGGTGGTGGGATTTTAACACGCATCTCCGGGGTGATAATATAGTGACGTTACCACCGGGACACCGCCGCCTTCATTCGGTTCAACTGAAGCTTCGATATAGTTGTGCTCAGAAGTGATTTTCATGCACTGGTTGGAAAACTGAGCACATCGGATGCTTGCCTAGGTGACCGTTGTGCTCCACCTTGCCAAGGAACAGATAACGGTGATCGATTTTGTCAGTTTTGAGCAGATCATCATTTGTTCCTATCCAGTACCAAATTCCAACACAGCTCTCTACGGACAGCAACATGGCGCTCCAGTTCAACAGTTACACCAACTCAAATCGACTACAGTAATAGGTTACCGTTGGTATGGCTAAGTACTCGTACAGCCAAAAGACAGCAACCAAAACCGGCGCACGAACCTACATGTTTAATGTTTGTACCAACTGAAAACAGGTCCTCTTGGACTACCTGTGTTGAATCTGACCTCGTATTAGTCTTGATGCAGTTCACTTCAATTCATTGGTTGGCAACAAAACCAGCAAACTCGGTCAGCTCAACATCGCCTGTCTGTCCCCAGCAGTTCGTGCATGCTGAAGCAGAGCTAGAGCGTGGGCTAACCGCGCCTCAATACGGTCGTTTAGATGGGCAGTGGGACCAGATTAGGCGAGCGATGGATTGCGCAGCGAATGTTGCTTGTGGATCTCAGCCTCAAGCCCGTCGAGGCATTGCAATATCTCGTGTTTTACCAGCTCTGATGGAGAAAAGGCGACCAATCTCGACCGCCATGATTGTGGTGTTATTGTGTGGTGTTGTTGCCTACAATTGACTGATACATATGGTGTCCGCGGCGAACCCTGCTTAGTGGGACAATCTGCGACAAAAAGAAACAAATTATTCACAATAGGGAGCAACGGCTTGATCGCTGGGAGAAGTACTTCAGCGAACAGATCAGATGGCCTGGTGCTAGAAAGATTACTTTATCTAAAACTGAAGCTTCTATCGTTACTATTTTGGTTTCTGCTCTTCCGAACTCGCTACAGCGGTTCCCCTTCCATTGACCATTTTCATCTCGTTTCCGGGCGGGTAGTCACTCTTATAAGGTTTCTGTCCCCAAATATCGGACTTCTATCTCTCAAACTTCTTTTTTCCTGAGGACTACGAAATTGTGGAACACTCTTTCCATCTCCGTGTTTCCAAACAATTATAATCTTACTCTTTCCAAAAGCAGGATTTATAAATTGATTCTCACTTGAATGTTACCCCAATATACCTTCCCCCTTACAGTATGTCGTTGATTATGGAGTTTATCCTGGTTGTTGTAAATCACTTCGTGTAATAAAAAGTGTTGTGCGATCCTCCGACAGAGGTAGAAATTTGGTCCTGCATTCAAGGTCTGAAGCGATGAAAAGTAGTAGGACCGGACAGGCATCCTTCCACTCTTTTCAAAATGGGAGGTGACAACCTCGTAAGCTCTATTACTACCTTACTGTACAACATTGGGACGCAAGAGCGCATTCCTTCATCTTGCAGTAAATAACTGATCCATTATATTTTCAAGAAACCATCTCGCAACGACTGCCCTAACCATTGATCCATCGATCCGAATTGTCACCAAAGTGCTAGCCTCAGTATACTGCGATGTCTGACTTCTTTAGGAGAGATCAAATCCGTGAACGGCAAGCCTAATTCCGGCCAGATCACGCATGTCTCGATCAGGCTTTTACGTTGTCTCGTGTTCTTCAACTGCGCCATATGCACCATCGACCATCGATCGCAGTGCTTCTTGACTTGAAAGGAACCTTCGACTCACTTCACTGTATTACGCTGTACAATGATGATGATGTCCTTCGACTCAGTAAACCGTGAAGCTCTAATGGGTAACCTTCTTTGTGTTCATGCATAATTTTCGTAGCTTCTTCTAAGCTTTCTGTTATAATTAGAGTGTCGTCGACGTATCTTTTGTACAGGATAGCACGCCCCAGAATATTAGTTCCTTTTTCTTCCAGATGTGCCATGAACAAGTCTGCCAGGACTGGGCCTAGCGGGTTGCCCATAGTGACACCATCGATTTGCCTGTACGCACTCCCTTGAAAAGAGGAAGACACGTCGGTTGTGCAGAGCACTAGTAGACGCTCAAGGACAGACACCGGTAGACACAGTCGAATATTTTCTTTCTCTACATGATCGCAGATCATTTGTATGACTTCACGAACTGGTACATTAGTGAACAGGGATTGAACATCGAAGGAAGCCATGTGTTTTCCTTCCATGTTGATTTTCAAAATATCCACCAATTCAAAACTGTCCTTGACTGTATGCTTGACCATCGATTTATGAACTGGTTCTAACACCTTA